ACGTCACCAGCTTAGACAGAACAGTTTATCAAATTCATTGCATAAGAAGACAGTTTGTGCATAATCATGTTACTTTGATTACAATGATAAATTATTATATATTGGGACATCTTAATCCTCAATATTGACTTTTTCTGTTATGACGATAGCGTCTTTGTAGTACTTTGTCTGTGACACCGATTTTATGAGAGGACTAAAACATGGCAGTGTCGTATCTTGATATATTCTATAAATATTATGTTGTAAAAAGAAGATCACAGAGGCAAGGACAATATGCTGAGGTGAGTGAATCGACTTTTATTGATCAAGAAGCCCTTTTTCGCAAAACTATTAATACTTTGACACTAATAAACACATGCTGAATTATATCATGTAGTCATTTCTCCGCATAAAACATAGAAGTGCTGCCTGCATCTCTCCGGGGCACTTGAGATCACCTCCAGATTTTGGTGAAGTTCGTGTTGCTCAGTCTATAGTTTTCTATGTTGTGTTTTGTACACTGTTAATTGTCTTTTGAACGTTTTTCATTTTTTTCTATATCATTGTCATTTGTTTTCGACTCATGAGATTGACTATCCCTTTGGTAACTCCCGCCTCATGTTTTACTATTGTGTGGAACGGATGAGTATAAAAATATACGGAGAGCATTTTCTCGCTGTGTTGAAGACCCATTGGTGGCCTTCGACTGTTTTCTGCTCTTTGGTCGGGTTGTTGTCTCTTTGACACATTCCCCATTTCCATTCTCAATTTTTTAGAGATGATAATATACCAGCTTCGTATGTAGATGATATTTTACACTTATATATGACAGTTTGCATGCATATTTGATAGTGTGCAATTATTATTCCTAATTAAAACTTGAGAGTCTTGGCGATTGTCAATCAAACTGTTGACATCACTACAAAAGCATTATTTTGGTTAACACGAAGAGTAAACCAATTGTGGGAAAAGTTCTACGATTATCTATCTGCATATTAATTAACCTTTTCACAAACTGTTTCAGGGTCAGAAGCTGGCCTGTTGCACGGCATAACTTCTATCCCTACTTAACATTCACTCTGTATGTAGTGGTAGTCTAAATACCCCTCTTTATTTCGGTCGACCCACTGTACTGAACTTTCCTATTGAAGTTACTTTGTTTTCGTCCTGAAAATGCATGAAATATTTGCCACTAAATGTTTAGCCAACAACAATCAATACTATTTATAACAGTAAAGCGTTGTGTGCTGGAATTATTGATAATGTTTAAATAAAACGAGTCCATGAAGTCGATCAAAATGAATTTTGAAGCTTGAATTAAGCAAAAGTAATTTCTTTCAAGGTTTTTTTAACAAATGTTTTGATCCAAGCTAGTTGAAGTTTCATCACTTTGAACAATGGTCTAATTACTATCATTATAACAAACTCAACGTTCTACAATTTGAAAAACATATTAACTTAACATTATGACAAATAATATATTAAAAATTCATATTTTATTGAAAAGAAGCTGAATAACTAAATCAAAAGAGTAAGAATGGCGTAAAACGAGTTACTAAACTATTTATGAGAAGCAATGAAATGCAAGGTCGTTAGTATATAGATTGTTAAATGATATATTAGTAAAATTAATTTTCATAAGAACAGTTGGAAAATGTCTGTAACCTATTTAGGTATATATTATAAATACCATGAAAGGAGACAAAAACAGAATAATCATATAAAGGTAAGAACTTTTTCCCCTAAAAATGCACGTAGATTTATTTTACCCAGTCAAATTAAGATGTGTTGCTTTCCGTATAAAGTTCGGGATTGCCGAATGCTTAAACACTTTGCTAGCAAAAAGCTTGTAGAGCTTGCTTGGCTGTCGAGGGATAGAGATTCGCAAAGGAGGAGGTGACAGTTATATACAACCATTTCATCGCCCTAATGAGAGATCGTGCTTTGTCAGCGTGGAATTTATTCGAAAGGGTTTTCAAATCGTCTCCTATCTGTTTGTTTCAACTTGCGCTATTGTGCACTATTGTTTGTCTGTTGATCCTTTTTCTGTTTTAGCCATGGCGTTGTCAATTTATTTTCGACTTAGGAGTTTGAATGTCCCTCTGGTATCTTTCGCCTCTCTTTTGCACCAGACATGTACTGCGTATTGCACAACGTATGTGACAATCTGTAGTAAAATAGCTAATAGTTCGAAGAGGGGACTTTTTAAAGTTTTCGGCCATCTTAGTGCGTGTTTGAAGCTATCGCTTTAGTACAACTCGAAGATGGTGACTACTCGAGCGAAGTATGCAAAAACTGTTATCAGTCGATCAATACATTACCTTTAACATCCCCTATTAACATATTTTTATCTCCTTTTTATTTGATGTCCAAAAGCAGAAGTTTTAAAATTATAATCATTGATGTCTTTTAAATTAATCATCACTTTCTTTTGAAGTTATTTTTTTCGTCAGAAATTTCGAAGCAAGCATTGTATACATCTGTTAAACTACTTTACATTGTTGATAACAATGAAGTTGTCAAAACGGACAAAGGTGGTTTAGTTGAAGCATTGAACATCTTTATACTAAAAAAGTTCTCAATAAAATATTAAAACCTGAAACATGGCACAAATTAGCACAAATTAGCATTTGCATGAAATAATTATTTAAGTTTGATGTTTTATTTAATACGTTCTGTAATGTAAATGATTAAAAACAAACATGGAGAATTAAGTATTGTGCAAAATAAATATATATTTTAAGGTTTTATAAAACAGATTATTGACTCAAAGAATGAGATTAATTGGGGTTTCCTAAGGTATATAAGTTATAGAATTGTAATCAGAGTTTTCCTTAGTCGAGTTGCGTAATTGTCATGCCATATTATGTCTCTTGCAAATTTTATTATTATGCATCTGAAATGATTTTTGTACACTAAATAACTTTTCTGTGAGAATGCACAATACACATACAGATTTAATATGCGCAACATTTAAGGCAGATGATAAAATAGCATTCAGCTTAAAATATGTAAAGCCAAGAAATGACATATACAAAAGAAAACTAATATAAATCATTTCGATCAAAACTATTCTGTCTACTAAAATATTGATACATGATGGGTCATCGCTAGTCGTCTTAATCTATTCACAATTTAAAAAGTTTTTCTGTGAGCACATTTGAAAATATAATTCAGTTATTAGTTAGATAGATATAAGAAGATGTGGTATGAGTGCCAATGAGACAACTCTCCATCCAAATCAAAATTTATAAAAGTAAACTATTATAGGTCAAAGTACGGTCTTCAACACGGAGCCTTGGCTTACACCGAACAGAAAGCTTTAAAGGGCCCCAAAAATTACTAGTGTAAAACCATACAAACGGGAAAACAAACGGTCTAATCTATATAAAAAAAGAGAAACGAGAAATACTTATGAACCACATCAACAAACGACAACTACTGAACATCAGATTCCTGACTTAGGACAGGTGAAAACAATACATGGTTTTTACAGAAGCGTGTTTCAGTTCTGACATGTTTTTAGTTGTCATATTGATTTAATTATTAATTCATTTAAGTATTATAGATTCATATATTTCATGCATATTGTGGACGACATCATCATAACAAACTATGATCGATTGGTATATGACATGGATGGTGGATGAACCAAAAAATAGCTAAAATTATAAAAAAAAAATATCCAAAATCATGTTTGAGTTGACATATCTGACCTAAACAGACAATTATACGGATAGGTTCTGGCAAAAATATATAAGTTAGCGCATTACATTTTAAAAGAGGCGGAAGATACCACGTGGATATTTACAACGTATGAGTCGAGAGAAACCGACAATACAATGACAAAATAAACAATGGCGTCGAAAAGACAAAGAAGTTATAAACAAAACACTACTGTTACATAGAAGACGAAACACTGATCAACACAATACCATCAACAAAGGTATAAGATTACTTCAAAATATTTTGTATAAGACATTTTGTAAGTAAATAGCTTATTTTGGTAGGTTCTTGGCTCAAAAATGAATATCAATGATATGTATTTAAATGATGCTTTTAATTGACAGCTCTTGCAGTTTTCCATAAAAAAATTAAAGCCCAAAAACAAATTTGTTAAGACATAATTCAAAAATATTAAAAATTGATATTCGACAGACTATAATATCTCTTCATTTAAGAATTCAAGTGGGGAAAAAATAAAAAAGGGGGAGCTTGAGATCTTAAATACTTAGTTTAACCCTGCCATATATTCATATGCATGTTCCCTGTCAAGAACATTGTCAGTAGTTGCCGTATGTCATACATGCATGTACATGTTATGTCAATGTTTTTAGATTTGGAGAATTGGGTGTTATTGTTTTTGTATGATTTATTCACAACTTTAATTGACTTGGAACGATTGAGAAATTGACATATTGTATAGATCCTTGTTATTGAAGAGTGTATATTTCCCGCTAGCTGTATTTGGGATTTTCATCATTGAGTTGATGCTAATTTAACGTATTTTTCACACATCTGAGATTTATTTTTAATCATTTTTTCTCCTTTCATAACTAATGTCGGCATAATAGAAAAAAAAACCTAGGTGTACAAAATTACAACTAATGAGGCGGGATCGGTTTGTTTGAAATGTCGCATAGCGGATGCTCGTAATCTTAAAAATACATGTATTTAAAATGATTCCATAATAAGTTCCTCTATGTAGGACATGCCAACTTCAAACAGCGTGATTTAAAACAGTGATGCGCCCCTTGATTACGTCAATAGCACGTACATATTTAATTGTGTTGAAAAAACAGTGTTAACAAAAATACCAAACTTCAAAACGAGAACAAACAAACTGAAGCTATAGAAACATCAAAATTACAAAATTGTCACAGTGACTATGTATTGTATGTCTGCACGGGGTGACTTACAATTCAATGAATTTACATAGCAATTACGGATATATCGTAAATATACGATCAATGTATCTCTGGTATTTTGCTTCCCTTAAAGTTTAAAATTCATCTACTTACCTTGCAGTTTTAGGTCTTTTGTCCACACTTCATGGTGCAATTCAAATGTTTAGTTACTGTATCTAGAGGACATTCATTTTATCGAACAAAACCTATGTCTGTTCTAAATAACATCCAACACTGTCCTATTCTGAAAGTAAACAGATTTCGATGACATTCAAGTTTTTTCTTAAATGATTTATAAAACTCGAATTTCGCTTACAAATTGAATATAAAGAACACATGAAGTGGAAAATTTAATATATATAGGATATAAATGTTCAGATTAATTAATATTTCAAAAAGTACTCTTCAAGTGAAAATTAAATTTCAACAACTACTAATGCATTCTTTAGAAATATATTTATTGTTTAAATGCAAACAATAATTTCCTATGACTAGAATTGAGTTCACATTATCATAATTTAAACATATTATTTCTTCATTGTGCGTTTAATCTGTGTGAGAATCGTGATGTGTATTGATAATAATTATATCTTATTTGTTCGTATACATAAAAGCTAACCATTATGCAATAAAGAAACTTGTTGAAAAGTTTGGTTCTTTAAACGAAACCAACACATGAAATTCGATCCTATGGTAGATAATTATATTATTTTGAACTTTTCAGTGTTCATATCCTGACGTACCACGCAAACTTAAGCCTAGGATGTAAGCTTTAATAAATTCGACTTTGGTTGCAGTTACTGTATCCACATTATCCAAATATCTCGATAAATAATGTTAAATTCAGAGCCGGGTTGATACTGCTCTAAAGCATTTCACAAAAAATATCATGCGATTGTGAAAACGATAAAAAGGAACGAGAAATTTGTTCCGATGGTTTATTTTCACAATTTTGCATCTGACAATCGACTGTTAACGTTGTGCCTTTTGAAAAAAAAGTGCCTTTTGAAAAAAAAATCCATTTGTATTTCCATCTATGCTCCCGGTCTTGGTAGATGATGGAACAATGCAATGTGAAATCATTAGTATAAAAACTTACATGACTTTTTGATGAGGAACAGCAATAAGTGTGTTTTCCTTTGCTTTCGGTTTTGACAAATGCGTGTAGGAATTTTATGTCATGAGTTATGAATGAATAAACTATTTTCCTTAAAATGGAAAAGCAATCAATGCATTTTTCCTATATTTTTGGTTTTGTCAAACGGTGTCAGAATCTATATGATCGTTAAAAATGTAGCTACACAAGAAATGGTATGTGTATCTGGGAAAGGACAAACACACAATTATAATGATATATTATTTTAACTTGATATTATGTAAACTGTGTATGAAAAGGTGTGATCAATTTATTTGGAAATTTTAGCATTTTAATCTTTATTCAATAACGTTATCAAACAATTATGACAAATAGTGACATGTAAGTTTCAACAGGTTAAGATATGGATTTTAAAAAAAGTTCACCTATTGAACCATTTTTGATACATGTAAAGTCAGTATCTTCAAAAATGGTTTTGATTGTAATCTTATGCGATTCTGCTGCAAACAGTACATGTTAAAACAATTGATAAGGATCGCAATTTTATAACAAAAGGCTGCACGAATATGTAATAAAATGACAACTGCAAAATCGAGAGTCATGTTAAAAAAGACTCGCCAGATGAAAACCTTCAATGGGTTATATACATAAAGTAGTCCCTTACCATTGTCCCGCCGTGCATATCAATTTCCCCGACATTGGTGACATCGTTAAAGAATATATAAATATATACCGATCAAGATTGAAAAGGCAGATAATTGGAATCTGTAAACCGACTAATTTGACATCACCATATGTAAGAAAAACTACAAAAAGATTTAATAAGTAATAAGGACAGCCACTGACGAGTTACTTGATTTGGGACAAGAACATAAACAAGTGACGCCATGGATATGAAAAGGTAAACTAATGAACCATTTTGATAAAAGAGAGGCAAAAGATACCAAAGGGACATTCAAGCACATAAGTCGAAAATAAACTGACAACGCCATGGCAAAAAAAAGTAAAAGACCAAAAAGACGAACAACAGTATACAAAACAAAACATTTAAAACGAAAGACTGAACAACACGAATCCCACAAAAAACCGGGAATGATTGCAGGTGCTCCTGAAGTGTAAGCAGATCCTGCTTCACATGTGGCATCCGTCGTGTTGCTCACTCATGTAAGTACAAACCCGGTGATAAGTCTAATTCGGTAAGTCACATTCGGGGAAAAGAGGACGGGATGTGGTTACGACGATTGAACATATCCGTCATCATTTGTGAAACAGATATTCCAAAAAGGTCAAACAACTCCTGATGGCGTCCGTAAAATTTTCGAAAGGATGATTTCAACTTCACTACTTGGAACTCTTGATCTAATAGCTTCATTGTCGGCAGCAACCTCTTATCAAGGAAATCATGATAGGAAATGCAAGCTCCGGAATAACGTATCAACTGGGAAATATATATTTAGTATGCAGGCGCTGCTGGAATGTTGCTACATAGAAATGGAAAGTTCACAATTTGGAAGCTGAAATAATCTTCTTTGTCGTAAAGTTTTGTTCTCAACCGACATGTATTGTCAATTTCTAGATATAAGTCAAGATATGATGCAGACTTAACTGTATCTGTTGTATCCTTTATATCAGGTTCGATGATAACAAAGCAAGACCAATGTTTTCAATTGGTCTTTTGGTATGGAATGGGGAATACTTGTGTAAAAGGTAGAAAAGTCAATGTTTTAATACTATTGCAAGAAGAAAGAGACAGAAACTTCCTTTTATTAATCTACAAATGATTATATCAAACTGCTCTATCACAGAGTAACCTATACAAATTGATACTACTAGAACACAGTAGCTAAATCATAAATACTAGTCAACAAAAGTAACGATACACAAGTTTGAACTCCAATTTATCATAAGATATAAAACTGTTAAATCATCCAATAAGGAAATTTAGTATTCAAATACATGCACAAGCATTCGATATTTTAATCCGACAATGTTTATGGTTTCAGTTTTACGTTCTAATTTTGGTTTTCGAAAATTTGGGTGAAAAAAAGTATTTGTGAAATCAATACAAATGCGAAAAAATGTGTTTTTTCCTTAATTCCATGGTATTGATAAGAACACAACACGCAGTTATATAAGAACAATTTGGCAATTTTTATAATTTGGTACCGTGTATCCTGTTAATTTTGATATAGAAAACGCATTGCGGTGTATCGTTTTCCTTTTTACTAGTATATAATACATGTAATGTTCTAAGCTAAATCAAGTTTGGAAAGAGATGACTTAGCTTGTTTATTCGAATTTAACTGTGATTTGATTACTACATACTTTAATATAATATTTGAACGTTAATGTTGATGTTTATGACGTATAATACTAGTGTGAAGTTAAAATTCTGTGATCAGTGAAATAATGTAAACTGAAACAACAATAAATAATAGGATGATAAAATATTGAAATTTAACGACTACTTTAAGGTGGTACATAACACAACAGGGAGATAACTCTGTAAAAATCAGCTAAACGTTTTAATTACGTTGTATTGTTAAGGAAATATTAAGCTTCTCAATGATCAAAATTAGTGTTTGTCAAACTGCTATATAACCAATGAAATTTTTTCTTATAAAGTGGTTGGTTCAAATTTTTTGAAATTTTTATAATTTTGTCAAAGGGTCAAAGTAAACATTTTGTCAAAATTTTATGAAAATTAAACGAGCCAAATTAATATTAGTCAAGGTGTTGGGTACCACCTTAAATAAAGAATATTAACGCCGGCTAGCTTCCCACTAATCGTAATTATTGCTCTGAAGAATTTGTAATCGACACAATGTTAGAATCAAAGGTTTACATATCGATTAACATATTATGTATTTGATTTATTGTCATAGCCAGCGTGATGTAATGTAGGAATCCATCAAACAGGTGCATTCTTTGTATCTCTCACTGACGAAGAATGTATTTAAAAAAGAGGAACACGAATTGTCACATAAAGAAAATGCATTGCTGATATAAAACATAACATTAAATATTTTTTAGATATCGGTATAACTCATAACTACTAATAATGGTTGAGAATTGAAAGTCGTTTTATGTCATTGCATTTCTTATAGGATTTAATGTATTCCATGTAGTTGTAAAATATTCTACAATTTCAACTATTTGTATCTTCAGCAATAATATTTTTGGGAGAAGTTAATTTCAACAATAATAAGTATTCGTGCAATATACCTGGGACCAATTCGATTTCAAGTACCCTGTACCTTTTTTAATTGTTGTTCTTAAAACTTTGAGCATCAGTATGCTATGTATACTTCAATATGAGAATATTACACTTCATGCAGTGAAAATTTCAGCACAATAAACATCCATGAGCTTGTAATCCAGTAATTGCTTTGGTTGTTTTCTATGATAATTGTTCTTCCTTTATTATTGTAGTTAAAATGAGGCCATTGGCTTTCCTCTTTGAATTGTTTCAAATTGTAATTGACATCTCTAAGCCATTTAAAGCTTTCTATACGTAATGAGTTTCGTTCATTGTTGAAGGCCGTTTGATATCTTTGTAATTGTTCATATTTATTGTACTTTGATCTTTAACGGAAAATTTCTCATTGGCAATCATACTACATTAAAAAATCCTTATTTCTAAATTGAAAGTTATCAAAATATTGTCCCGATTTAAAACTACCATTTATATGATTTTATTTTCAATGCAGTTGGAGAATTAATAAGTCAGTTATTCAAACTCACTAATAAAAGGCTAGAACTGAGATCAAAAGATGCACTTTCAAAAGACATGTCAGCAATGGTCTGAGAATGAGACATAATTGAAAAGTTCTTGTTTATAAATTTTACCATTCACCATCCGAGGTCGTATCGTTTTTACGAACCACGCTTTTGTATTGTTTCTCTCGTGGAAGACTCATATCATGGCATTATACAGCTTACAACACTAAGTTCAAGTCAATGCTACGTACAAAATGTATCCTTAATACCGTTATTTAAGATTGAAAATTACATCGTTAAAAGTTTAGTTTACGTTAAAATGTGTTACTCCTGCAGTTTATGATTTTTTTTAAAGATATGAATGTAATATCCACTTATTCACATCTTATCTAGTTATAAAGTAGAAGTTCAACAAAATGATTATGCATCCAATACCCCTGTCGGCAGATGTAATATTAGAACAAGTGAACAGTCACACTACTTGGTTTTTACAAATCTACTGTTACACCATTGTCTCTGATTAAGAGGATTGTTGATTGGTTATAAACATATTTCACCTTACTAATTCTTTTTGTGTCTGTCCCAAGTCGGGAGCAAGCAATTCAGTGGCTGTCGGTTGTTGTTATCTGTTTTTCGTTTTAATGTTTTGTCATAAATCCTGTCGGATTTTTATTTATATAAAATAAGGAGATGTGTTATGATTATCAATGAGGCAACTATCCACCAGAGTTCAAATGAAGTGAATGTTAGCAATTATAGGCAACCGTACGGCCTTCAACAATGAGAAAAACCAATACCTTATATTCGGCTTTTAAATTCCCCTACATGGAAAATGTGAAATAATTCAAACGAGAAAACTAACGGCTTATTCATAACAAAACGATTTACGAAAAACAAATATGACAGACACGAACCAGCGACAACCATTGAACTACTTTCTCCTGACTTGGGACATGTTTGAATTGTTACACATTTTGACATGTCGAGCCTTTTATAGGTGACCATATGGTATGGGATTTGCTCATTGTTTAATGCTTTACGGTGATCTAGAATTGCTTAAACCAATGCTATTTGGATGGTTGTCACATTTGCAATCATACCACATCTCTTTATTTGATATACAATGTACACGTGAAAAGAAACCAATAACATATATATGAAGCTGAAGATAAGTTTATTACAAATCGTGAACTGAAAAGTAAAACACCAGAAATTTAGGAAAAAAATTTAATAATTCTAACGTACTTTAATAAAAAAAAAGTTTAAAATGACTGGTAAAAATTAATAAAGTTAGATATTCTGATTAAGGTGACATATTGAAGAAAAATGAGTTTTGTTAATTTGATATTGCAAATCATATTTAATGGTATAACTGATACATTGTATAAGTATACAAGTGTCAAATATTCGACGTTTGCAGACCCTTTATTGTATCACAAAATATTTATTTACTAGACCATAGTTGCTGTATCTTATGGCTATCAATTCCTAGCATTATACGCCTTTTACAGTAATACACAAATTATTGACTTCGCTCTCGTGAAACCTTTAAGTAATATCATCCGAACACATCATAAATAAATGTTTGAATTTAACATAGATAAAGGGTAGTTTATACTGAACTACTTAAGTATAAAGCCCTCTTGTATATAAAATAATTTATTGCATAGCTTTTAATTTGATTTATAGCTTAGCTTCTTCAATAAACGAATTAGTGAACAAGTTCAATACCAAAACTTAAAGGTTCAATGTAAAGTCTATCCCTGCCATGTAGACACACGAAATGTAGATATTATAAAGTGAATGCTTTATTGGTCTTTTTAAGAAAACAACCCATACAGTGCAAAGGACAAACATAAATCATTTAATAATAAGGAACGATTTTATGGAGTTAAAAGATACCATTATAATCGTACAGGAATATCACGTATTCAATATCTAGTTCAAGTTGATTTCCTTATTTCTTTGCACTATTGTTTTGCATAATTTAGCAAGAAAGATATATCCTATACTCTTACTATAATCCACGTTATTAAATTAGTATAATGGAAGGGAAACGATATGGTGTATCAATTCATATCATAAAATCACAACACGCATAAGAAATATCAAAACAAAACCATCAGCGCTTCTGTTGATGGTTTTCATCTCATTGTCACAAAAAAAAGGACTTCGCCATGAAGCAAAACTCTCACACCACATCAAGAACCAGACGGCCCTAGCACCGGTTTGAGCAGAATGATTTTATTTTTGATCGTTTTTTTTTCTAAATAATTTCATCTTTAACGTTTTTATATTGGTTACAAAATTGAAGCGCTTGCAGTCATTTATCTTAAGATTTCAACGACGTGTGCATCCTTAGCCCCGGACGCACCAAATTTCTGAAGCGGAATTTGTGTTTCCAAAGTAGAAAGTTGAATACCATAACAAATAATTCAATACTTTTTTTTTCAACAGCATTTAATAAATACCAGTTACAAATGTTTCTGAGGTAAAATTGAAAATGTGGAAATAATTTGGCAGGCAATTCTTTTAAGTTGAAATGACAACTTATACGTCTAAAAGTAAAAGAAACATGAATATAAAAAAAAAAAACAAAAAAAACTCAACTTTGCAGAAAGACAGTCATCACATTATTTGTTTCTTTTTCGAGTATTGCATTCCCTTATAAAAGGCGAGAGTTCATATTTCTCCATTAGTGTACGGACAGTTAACGATATACGGATATTTTCCCACTGATTTGATCCTAGAACGGGTATTAAGCGGATTTCCTGATATATGAAACCATTTTAATTGAAATCAAAGATTCAAACATATGAATAGATCGATTTGAACAAGACAAAGTTGGCATAATGTAATATCGTAATAGATTACTGGACGAACCAGGAAGCAAACACCAAATAGACTTAACATGACTCTGACCATGTATAGTTCAACTTGGATAAAATCTATTTTGCCTTCTTTAGAAGATATTAGTACTGGAATGAACTGGCTTATAAAGATAAATTTCATAGATAAACCTTCTTTTTAATTACGAATTCTGTTCTATAATGACTAAGCAGTTTTACTGTGCTTTGATGTTCTAGTTTACAAGTCTTCTGACATTTAACAAATCTATCACCTATTAACGTTGAAATCATTACAATAATTAATACTTTTTTAATGTTTTGTATTGTTTGATGTTTTCAATTATTTTACCAAAATGTGTACCGTTGTACATGTGCCGAGTGATAAGAAAAAAAAATATGTTAAAATTTGTACAATCAGAAAACGAAAATGCTTTATCATAATTTAAGATTTAAAACATTTTTTTAAACATGAGTTTTTCGAAGGTCAAATCATATATAATGTGAAAACAACTGTCATACTTTGTAAAATAATAAAAACAGTTTGTGTACGTTTGTATAATTATAACAACAACCTGTTTACTTTTATTGTTTACCTTCAATTATCTCGTTTTCTAGTTAGCAACAGTTGACAACTTTAAATTAAGTCTTTAAATTTATCTTTATGTCGATAGAGCACGATTGTGACCTAGTGCCAACAATTAATATCAGAAACATGATATTTTTGACGCATGTATAGATACTTGTATATAGTGACATTGCCTCTCGTTTATTGCAATTTTAAACAGTAGCATAGATATCATGTACCCTATATCGAATGTATTTTGTCGAACAATTATCATCATGTCTCGCATCAATATATCTAGTGAATGTTGAAACTAAATAAAAATTCGGATTCTTCTGAGTTATACCCTTTTTATCTCGTTAATTTTTAGTTGGTTGCCACAGTTTCAAATTATTCTCTATTATAAACAGGTAGTATTCAATAATATGAGCAGTGCAGGCATTTAGGTACTGATATGACACCCATCTACGTTGTTGTTTTAATATGATGGCATACTTTGCAGTTAGTACATTTCTCTATGTGTAAAAATACATAAAAGAGAGCAGATGCCAAAGTGGTAATCAAAAACATTTGTCTAATAAAACAGACAACACCATAGCAAAATCTATGGAAAGATAAAACGTAGAGGAGAGCAGTAAAGCCAAATATACTAAAATAATGAAGCAAAAATTAAAAAAACACACGTGCGTGAGTACGATAACCTTGCAATCACACAAATTTAATAAGTTTTAGTACAACTGAAAATTTTCAGTATCAATTATATCAAAATAATATCTTGCCAAAAAATAAGCACCATCTGCAGTGCTGATAAATGATATTAAAACTTAATAGATTTGGCGCGTCTGAAGCACTTTACTTGTAATAACATAAGCAACACGACGGGTGCCACATGTGGAACAGGATCTGCTTACCCTTCCGGAGCACCTGAGATCACCCCCAGTTTTTGGTGGGGTTCGTGTTGCTTAGTCTTTAGTTTTCTATGTTGTGTCAACTGTACTATTATTTGTCTGCTTGTCTTTTTATTTTTGGCCATGGCGTTGTCAGTTTGTTTTCGATCTATGAGTTGGACTGTCCCTCTGGTATCTTTCGTCCCTCTTTTACTGTATTTACCTTCACAAGGAACGCTCAAACCCAAATATTTGAAAGCCCCGGATGTATAAGTACTTTAAAACGCAAGTAGCAATATGGCAAAATTCATTTCATTTTAGGAACATGTGTTGCTCTATATGTGGCATGAATCAAATGCTTCGCAATATTATATTACAAGAAACCGCAATTAATTGAACGATCCATATGTCTACTTGGATATTCTCTGGAGTTGGTTTGTATTTTTTCTGGATGACATTTTTCAGGGTTTGATTGTGAATGTTCGCACCCTTCGTAACGCTAGACACATAGGTAGTTATATGTATCTATACGCCAGTTACTCTGGACTATAATCAAAAGAAAATGGTATATCTACTGTTAAAACAACCAACGTTATTATAAAAATAAGTAAGATTAGGAAGAAAATCAAATATCAAAATTGCTTTCTTACCTTAATCCTGTCGATTTTACAACAATTCCACCTATATGTATATGTATATTCGAATTTAATATATTTTGTGTACTGTCAAAGTATAATTCACACCGCTATTCCTAAAATTTGATATCATTCAAAGTTTAATGTAGAAATCAAAATTATATGAAAGACATAGTTGATGGGAAATGAATAGGACCAGTATTATATTCAGTGTAAACTGATAAAAACATATTTTCTATCGAAAATTTAAAGGTCTTTGATGAATATGAGGCTACAATAGGGGTTATTATATCTGTTATAGGATGACTTATAGAAAATAAAATAAACATTTCTTCTGAAGGAAAATGTGTTTTGTTTGCACTGTGCATGTTGAAAGTAAAATTTGACTAAATATTCAAATATAAAAACATTGAAATACTTAAATATATGATGTAAATAAATCGAAGAAAATGCATCATACAGTACATCTTAACACTGCCAATATTTTTTGCCAGAATGTAAGTTAATTATTTAAATCATAAATTGATTTTAGACTTACCTAATTTTTGTTCTACTTACTAGTTACTAATTATACAATTTCGTAATGTACCGCAATATTTTTTAATAAAAAGTAATGAAAGGTAGATTTTAAATTTCTTTTTAACTCACTGTAATACCGCTTTATCCATAAAATGCACGAATCAACGTTATTATTTGTACATCAAATGTAATAATCGTTCAAAACACTAAGGTTTTTTCTAAACCCCAGGCACATATGACCGTAGCCAGATTTGATACAAATTTTGGGGACGTTATTCATATAAAGCATACTTCTTACATGAGCATCTAAAAAACATAAATAGAAAAAAAAGCTGATATGTTTGGTTTTGTTGTTACCACAATCCCGTCCCCTTTTCTTTGATTGTGACGTTATCTAACACGATGGGTGCCACACGTGGATTACGTACTGTGTACCCTTCTGAAGGAATTTAATTCAACCTAGTTTTTGTTTTGGTTCGTGTTGCTTAATTTTTAGTTTTCTTCGTAATGTTTTGCTTTTTTTAAATGTCTTTCCATCGGTTATCGTTATGATCATTGGTTTGTCTTTTTATATACTTATTATTTTCGATTGTCTTCTTGGTATTTTCTCTCTTTTTCTGTTTTTGCAATGATCTTCAAAATGAAAGAAAACAACACTAGCCTCTCAATAATTTCTGAATTCTTCGATGGAGAATTCAAAATAGGTATGTTATGAATAATATCAGCACAGAGGACTACGGAGCTAAACTTTCCCTCGGATAATAGAGGCCAACCGACAGCGTTGTGAACCCGGTACTAAAAAATGATAATAACGCTTTATAAATATCGTGCGTCCAAAGTTGTTTTTCTTGATTTCAACTATGATACTGATTTAGCTTTCAATCTTTTTTATACTAGCTCCATTGATTAGTCGGATGCAGATTAAACGAACGTCGAGCTGAATCAATTATAAGCATGTTTACAACCTCTGGGTCGATGTACCGTTTGGTGGTCATTTCGTCTCCCGAGGGTTTTCCATGCCAGTCGGGAGCACTTCTGTGCTGAAAGGAAATATCGTTTATACGGTGCTGTATTATAAATTAACTGTCCATAAAACATGATACTTATGCAAAACAACAAGGTTCTATCCCCGAGTAAATGTGGTCTTAGGCAGATTTGCACATCTTCTTGGAAATTTGGATTTTTAATGCTCTTTACTTCTAAAAATGATTTGGTTTCTCACCTGTTTTGATCGGTGCTCCACTGATAAATCTTATGTAGACGAAACTCTCGCCTTACATTATAAGTTACAAGCCTTGTATCTTTAATTATTTTTGTTCTCTATAAGTTGAAAATAAAAATATGAGTGTGCGACATATATATTAATATATATATATAGTATATATTACTTACATTTTCAACCTCCATTTCACTTCAATGACTACTTCTGTTTGCACATTATTTTCTTGTAAACGTCTTTTCCATTTAGTATTTATCTGCTCTCCATGAAGCCGTTTTCGTTCTGTCATATTAAGTGACAAATTTTACATATTGAATAAAATGCCTACTGTGAATGTATTCGTTGTAAGTGTCACGGCTATGTATCACATGCTTTAATGTCAAATATATCATAAGCCTTTATAAATATTTAATGGCAACTAATATACTGATAACGAATTTGTATGCACTTATGCATTGAAATATAATTTTTATATTTGATTCACAAGGAAATTAAAAAAAAAAATTAAACTTTCTTTTTTGAATAAATAAAATTTGAAAAAAAAACTTTAAATGATTTAAAATAAAATATGCATAAAACTATAACTTTCATGATAAAATAATTGCATTTAAAAATCGGTTACATTACGATTGCATAGACTTTCTAAGCTTAAATGGACATAGGGATTATTTATGTGTTATGAAACAAACTCATCAAAGATACCAGGCTTCTAATTACACGATGTGCAATAACGTCATAAATAGACGACTTTTCATCATAATGCACATTTTTACTAAATGAATAATGTGTTTTTTTTCATTGTGATCGATACCAAGATATCATAACATAAACCATTTCTTTGTGTAAAACTTATTTCATATAAGTATGATTGAAAAAGTATTTGAGTTTAGTTCATCTTGATTAAACTGAACAAAAATATTGTTTAAATTAAAACCTAAAGAATGTAGTAGATATAAAGTAACGGACAGGAAATATTACATATCTAGTGAACTTCTAAGGGAAAACAGCTAATCTCTAAATTATCCTTCAATAACAGCACATATGCTAATGATATTATACACATGGAACAGTTGACCCAGATAAAGTAGATGTACAATAACGAAACTGATGTCTCCATAGAAATCACCGTATTTTGGACTTCAACATAATTTACCCGATTGCAGACTTTTTTTTATATCATTGCGCATTCAAAACTTTCTAGCCATATATAAATAGGTTTAATTAGGTATATATTGGTGAATCAAATAAACCCATTGCTAATATCATATATATAATTGGTTTTTTTTACTAAAGTGCAGTATGCTATAGATTTTTCTAAAATCAGCACAATGGGAAATAAAGGCAAATCGGTATCTTTACAGGAACTTTGCAAAAAGTGAATTCAAAATCGTTTAATTTAAAATTTTTAAATTGAACAAAAAGCAAAATCAAATAAACTGCAAGGATATACACCATATTTTCCAGGAGGTTTGTAAATTTCATCCAGTATATTTTATTATTTCTAACATCGTATACTAATCTATGTTTTCATTCACAAGTCAATATGAATAAAACACTGAGATTTTTCGAAATACTAAGGATTTTCTACCCAATGAATATATTACCTTAACTGCATTTTGCAAAACCTTTCGGAATTTTGGGCCTTCAACTTCGTACTTTATTTGGCCTTTTTAGCTTTTTGAATTTGAGCGTCGTTGATGAGTCTTTTGTAGACGAATCCCTCGTCCGGCGTACACAATTGTAAATCTGGTATCTATGATTAGCTTACTGAGTATTGGTAATTAGTTATAAGTTTCCATAATTCGTCGTCATATAAAAAGAAATATGTATAAAGCCATTGTACTGTTTAAATCTGACCGATTTTAGGTAAACTATCAGGGAAATGGCAGTGACGTTACCAAAAGTGACGTTTTCTACATTGTAGTAGGTATAATGTAAATAAAGTTATAAAAATAGACTGAATGTCTTTCACACCATAGTTCACTTACCGATAGGAATTCGAATATTTTGGGACTGTCATTATCCTCTCTATCCTATTTTGATTTTGTCATGTTTTATGAAATTCACCTGCTTGATATTACCTTGGAGTTCATTAGTTTTGTTAATACCGTTTTCTTATGATTAATACACCGAAAGAAATATAAAATAATGCACAATCATTTTTTTCTCAAATCTCGTGTCTGACTATTTAATTTAACGAATTATGTTTTTGTAAATATCAGTTAAATTAATTGTTCTATCCTTTGCTTTTAATTATAGACGTGGTTTCCACTGTTGTGCGTTGGTCAGTTTTTAGTATTTGTATTTCTTGTGTACATTAATGTATATATAAATGTTATTGTGTCCTGATTTTGTTTATGTTGAGAAAACAGGTAGGGCCTACATCATGTATGACATCTCTACTGGGGACTTCTTATGATCGTCTTATTTATTATTGTTGATAGAATTAGCTATTGGAATTCAAGCGTCAATTTTATTCTAAGGTTAATTTCTCTAACAAAATTACCCAAACTCTTCAAGGCACAATATACGTGATATTTGTTCTGTTTGAATTATATGTAATGTTTAATGTCTTTTAGTTTAAAATATATATAGGCTGAAAAGTTCCATCTCCCATTGTACATTAGGGTATACAAATGTCAGTCCCTTCGGCCTTGATTCGTGAGGTAAATTATATAATATAGTCATGGAAAGGCAGTTTCTGCTCCATTAAATAAAACAAGCATCTAAAAATCCCTTCCAGTTTCTTTCAATGTCATTTTGAAAACATTTCTAAATTTCTTTCCAACGGAGTTTTTAAAATATCAATTAATAAGTGTCGTATTGGGAGGACAGACTTCGGTACCCATTTGTTATTCTATTAATTTGACTGTTATGTTTACTATCGCAGTAATTCTGAAATATACGTTTCGATCCATTTGTTATATTGTCTTTAAAACTTTGTTCAAGGTATACGTTTATTATATTACAAAAAAATTGTTAATGTTTCTAATACAAGTTCGTGAATTATATTGTAATATTAGCGTTGTGCATCAAAAGCTTCCAGGAGAATGGACGTGTTTGTTGATGTTAGAAAATAGGTTAAACATTTAACTTTTTGGGATATAGGGCCTTAGTAAATATCTAAAGATTGCAAGTTGTATGTGTTTCGCAACAGTGACCATCTATTAAAGGTTTCACTTTTTAAATACTTTGGTTATTATTATTATTTCGACGCAAATAAATGTGCTTTTAGAACATGCATCGTTTATCAGTTTGCTTTAAATTTGTAAACATTAAGGTGTTCGTAGGAATTGTTTTGTTTGCACAAAAATTGTATTAAAAATTCTTGTTTCTTTCAAGCAGGGACATTCCCGTGATTCTCAAGTGTTTCATTAACTTACGATTATACTGATTTTATCTCGAGTTCGACGATATCGAGGGATAGATTTTAATA